GACCCCCAAACTAGATGAGTGGTTGCAACAGATCCCGGGAACAACATCGGACATCTCAGTCCAGAAATGTGCAGTGCTGGGAACAGCAAGGATATTGCGCAGAACCCTCAAGCTTCCTGGCCTCTGGTAGAGGACCCGAGCTGAATGGGGGACGGACACCACCCGAGGGGTGAGACGAGGATTTTTTAATGTATATATATATATATAAAATTTTTGTTTATTTATTTTTAGCTTTGCAAAGGGACGATATGTTTTGTTTGTTTTTTTTATTTGAGGGTAGCATGGTGGTCGACTGGTTAGCACATCCGCCTGATAGCCTTGGGTTTCCTACCACAAATTTTAGATATTTTTTGTTTGTCATTATCTCCCTAAAATAAAAAAAATAAAATAAAAAATTAAAAGGTATATTTCAGGAATGAGGAAAACATGTAAACTCCACATCAGAAGGCCAAAGCCCAGATTCGTACCCCGGACCTCTGAACTGTGTGGTGGATGTGCTAACTACTCGGTCACCATGCCACCCAAGTTAAAAACATCCACTGTCATCCCAGAGTGGCATAATCCCAGTGCTTCAAGGCCTCATAAAGGTATGACAAAACTTGTCATTTTTGTGTTTACATGAGGAGCAGATTGCATCAATTTTATGTCAGGCTTGGAAGATTCATCTGCCTCACTAAATTGGAAAGCCAAATTCAGGAAGAGGTTTGATTAGAATTCTGATTCAGAGGTACAAGTTTCACCTTTCTTGTGTGACTTGAATGCTTCAGTATTTGGAGCACAACATACACTATTCAGGCTCCAATGGAAGAGAAACAGTCCTGTGTTTCACAGGAGATTTTTGCCGTCTTACATGGGGAAAGTGGATGGAATGGATCATGAACTGAATTAAATCGAGAGGGACATGTCCCTAAAAGTGTCTAGTTCCATCTTCTCCCATGCTTCACATGCTGAACAACGTAAAACAGATCAAAACCTAATTTGAGCACGAATCGGTAGGTAATAGAAAACACAGAACCTTCTCCAGATCTTTGGCACGCTCTTCACTTTTCTGCAGCAGGCTTTTAGTGTGACTTGTGGCTTGCTCAAGGATGGCCTAAGTAGGAAAAAAAGTGTTTATGGGAAACAGATCAGCAATGGCAAGACCAAGGAAGAGTGGCCAGTTGAAGCAGATGAAGAAAAGCCTCACCTGCACTATAGTCAAAAGTAATGATTAGGTAAAGCGTTTTTTTCATTGTGCTTTGTGTATATGTATATGTGTATATATATATATATGTATATGTATATATGTGTGTGTGTGTGTGTACATATATATATATAATGCGTGGCAGAACATTACTGTTCAAAAAAAAACATTAAAACTCTATTCGTATTTTTTAGGCTTTGTGTGGGGGGGGGTATGTATGGGTGTATTTTTATTGATTTTTTTTTTTTTTTTTTTTTTTTGT